TACTCTTTTACAATTCTACGATCCTAAATGTGCTATTTTTTATCATTATAAATGTAAATTAATAGAGTTTTTTCGTGATATATTTGTTTGTATTTTATTCTAGAAATGCTTTTATCTTTTATTCACTTTACAAGAGTTATGAGTAGAGTTTCTCTACTTTACACATATTTTAAAGTTCGTAACTAATTTTTTAAAATGAATTTAATTTTAATTTATTAAATTAATTCATTAGTTGTTAATTTGTGTTGTCTATATTTATTTTTTTTACAGATATAAACTAAAATTACTGTAATAATTCTAAAACAAATGTATCTATACTGAAAAAAAATGAGATGGGGCCCGACTAGTTATAATTGTAGGGCCATATCATCTCAAAAAGCCACCAAATATATGAATATGTATAAAAAATTCACCACTTACCGAAATAAACTTTAATTTAAATCACACTTTGGGGTCTTTCTATGAGGCTCAGGCAAATATCAATAGTTTTACTGGCTCCCTCTCTCTATACGGAGCCTTTAATGGCGCTCTCTATACGGGTCCTCTCTTGTAATGAATATAAAATCTTAATAAATAATGTATTTATTTAATGTAGACTTTATATATACACTCATATCATAGTAAAGTTTTATTAATAGACTACTTTTAATCTGTAGAAAATTAACTTAATTCAAATATACAAATCTCTCTGCAAAATTTCAGAAATTTTTGACGAAATTTTGGGAATTATTATGCTTCAAAGACGGTGAACAAAATCGTGCATCCCCACACACAAACAGCCATACATACAAAAAAAAACCCTGATTTTTTTCCATTTTTTAACGTTTCAAGGCCCAATTAATTCAAAATAAATCTGGAAGAGTGAACTATTTCTTGAAAAAAATTGATTAATTAAAGAAAATTAAAATTTATAATTAGTTAAATTAAACTAAAAAGTCATTTTTAATACAGTTTAATTATAATTGTATTAAGAAAATTATCTATAAAAGCGAAAATTGCATTTTTACTTCTATTATTTCCTCCGAGATTACTTTTAGAAGATCCATTAAGTCCTACCCTTTAATCCTTTTTATTGATGGCCCGTACGAACATCTCGACAGATTAACAGACTCGGGATTAAGAAGTGACCAACAGATTGAGATACAGGTTTTAATCAAGCTTGATGTTATCCTCTTGGGATTGATGAGCTTACAACCAATACTTAAATGTCTGTGATTGAAGCAAAAATATTTTTTCTCAAAGATCAAAGATAAACATCAGAATTTATTTTTTAATTTATAAAATTCTCTGTAAAGATTATTTTAGTAAAAAAATACACTTTCAACGTTGTTACGTGACTTCTTTATTTGTTTTCATCCATAATAATCGCCACCATTTCCTTTACGTCTTCAGATTGGTTCGAGAAAAATTAAGGAAGTGGGGATCATATTTCCCGTACCTGTGGTCCGATTTTCGTGAAAATTTCTAGAAACATTCTCCTGTAATACGTAAAGCTCCTTGTAAAATTTCAGAAATTTTCGACGAAAGGCACAGGAGTTATCCAGCTTCAAATTGGGTGAACAAAATCGTGTCCCTCACAGACTAACATCCATATATACAGGGGGAAAACCCCACATGTTGTATTTCTGGACGTTTCAAGGTTCCAGGAGTCCAAAAATATAAAAATTTTTGGTATTTTTTTTTATTAATCGTCATAATTTCTCTGTTATAATAGCCGGAAAAGTAAAAATAATATTGATTTAGTAGAGAGATAGAGAAAAATTTGGAAAGTTTTATGCATAATTTTGCTAAATATATTTAATTTAATATAATTCTATATTTTTATTTATTAAATTTAATAAAAATTTAATTAAAATGTTGATTTAAACTCTCAAAAATTGATTTTGAATGTTTAAACAATGAAAAGAAAACATGGAGTTTCTAAATTTAGACAAATAAGCAGACTAAATAAAAAAAAAAAACCTGAGATATTCTAGAAGCAAATATTTATTTTAGACAATATTATTCACTGTCAAAAAACTTTTCCTCGTGACAAAATCGGTTTGAACGATATCTTAAAGGATGTAAAGTAGATATTTTTGAAGTCTCTCCCTATATCTTTTTCCAAAAAATTGTCACAGTAGAGTCAATTTTTAAAGATTTTTTTTTGTAGCTAAATCTCTTCCAGATAGTTTACATCTTGTTTAACTTCAAATATTCTATCTGATGTCATAAAATATCACATTTTTTTGACACCATATCACTTTAAAAACTAAGAAGTTTATGACAGAATTTTACCTAAAACATAATATATATTTAAAGGGGTATGCTGAACATGTACAATACATTAGAATAAATTAATCATTAACAATAGGAGAAACTTAACATTATTAATCTAGTTTACAATATTTAATTAAGGATTTGATAAAATATTTTAGGGGAAATTATATTATATTTAGTATGATATCAATAACGTTCTACGAGATGGAAGATATATCAGCTTATGCACAGTGCTTCTTTTAATGCGATTAACTCAGAAATTATTATGTCATTTTGATTGACAATACATAATTCCATTAGTTGAGTGGATAGATTAACTATTAAACTATATATTAGTTGCCTAAATGATATAATTAAATTTTAATTCGAGAATTTTGCGACTGCATCTAATTGTTATAACATCCATAGACTTACAGTAATCTGTGTTTAATGATGTTCTATAATAATGATTTTCTGATGAATTAAAATTATTTTGTTTAATTTAATGATGTTTATTTGTACTTTTGTACATTTTAAACTAATTAATTGTATTTTATAGATTAAAAATATTATTTTAAGAAGTAAAATTAAAATTATAAGATTTAATATTGTTATTTATTGGTGCCAATTTTATTTATTGAAAAAAAAAACAGCTTTACAAAGAAGAAAAACTGATGGTTAATTTATTATTTGCAGTAATTTTATCAATAAATTAAATAATAAACATTATTATTTGTATTTTATTTTTTAAGTTAAAGTACGAATTAGAACTGATATAAATAGAAGTTAATGAATTTCGCAAGAGGCACACGTGCCACCCTCCAGTGTACTTTAATGGTTTGTAAATTGCTTGCCAATTGGACCTGTCCGCTACATTCATCAAAACAAACAAAGAAAACACTGTAGAAAACAGATATATTTATTGTAGTATGTCACATGACATATGCATATGACACATTAATTTGCATGAGTCGAATTGTTATCAAATATAAATTTCGATAATTTTCATATATATATACTGTATATATGCATATAAATGACATTCGTTGTTTGATTTTATGCCTGCAAAGTATTCTATTTTTATATTTCTTGATTTAATATTAAATCATAAGAAGCTGTCGTCCATTTATATTTGAAAGATAATCCGAACCACGTGTGATGGAGGGGTTGTTGCAGCATCTCAACAAGAGATTACACAATCCTCTTGCAGATTCTTTAAGCACCAGAAGAAAAAATAAGAATCAATAGGAGAAAAACTATCCGGATGTTTTCTATTCAAAGGATGACCCGATAGTTCCTAGCTGAACAATATCAAAGAAATCCCAAATCTTGTTGAGGATGCAAGTTAGCTTGGGAGAAGAATTTCCGCTCGAAACAGGTGTAGTTGAATCTGATTCCATTTCTCCCGGGGTGTTTACATCGACGTCAGAAGATAAGAGATCGTCCATCATATTAGACTCCATGGTGACAGCCACAACTTTTCTTCCTCTTATAAGTTTGCTATTTTCCCACGCTTTTTTCATTTTTTTTTAAATATAAAAATGTCTCTCATAAATTAAAATTCAAAATAAATTTTATTTAATTTTTTTTAAAATGTTTCCACAATACTTTAACTGTATATAAAAAAATAATCCATTTAATTCCCAATTAAATTAAATGTCAAAAACACGAAATAGAGCTTTGAATTCTTAGAAATTATACCTTAATAACATTCTTAATGAAACTATTTAAGAGGAAAACATATAATTTAACAATTATAAATACATTAAGTCGTGTAAAGATAGTTCTATATAATTTAAACATTAATTATTTAACGGAAATTTCCTTCCACTTCCGATAATTTCATCTTAAGTAATTAAACTTAGAGAAAAATAATTAAAACTGAGTATACAATCTTTAAAAATATACTTACTTTCAGCATCTTCAGCAAAGAAATTCTTTCATTAAAATATTTTTCAATATTTTCTCCGAGAAAAACAATTACAAAACAATATTTTTCATTAAAAAAATAATTTTAAAAACTTTAAAAATTTATGTGAAAACTCAAATAAAAATATTTCTCGAATTTATCCGTGGATTTATTTTATTTTTCTTTCTGAAGAAACTACAATATTGGAACTTCCACACCAGTGACATTCAGATAAACGTTAAGTTCTCCAAGTAAAATAAAATAAAATAAAATAAAAACTATTGAAATTCAACGAGCAACGAGCTCTTCCAAATATCAAATCTCTAAATGTAACAGAATCGAAAAAATAAAATAAAATAAAACTTATAACTTATATCTTATTTCTTGCGGGTCAGTAAGATTCTAGTCATAAAAAGTTAACAGGAAAAATTTATAAATATTTAAATATATAAATTATAATTATTTCTTTGTATTAAGATGCTTTCGTATCATTTACAATGGACTCTCAAGCAGTAGCAAGAGTCTAGTGTAATAAAATGATTAAAAAGAAAATATAAAATAAAAATATGATGGCAAATTGTTTAAATAATTTATTAATAATATCACAGCTTGTTTTATGCAATAATTGCATGTTATACACAAATTTCTAAACGAGTACAAAATGCATATCACCGAGATTTCTATCGACTAAATAAAATTAGAAAGACACCATTTGGAGAATTATTACACGAATAAAAATGCTTTACTTTAAAAAGCAAGCAAATCGATGTATAGATTATTGCTTAATTTATTTATAAAATCTTATTGTTTGTCGTTACTGTTATTATTATTTACTTAATACGGGAAGACGTGATGTTTTTACTTTTTTCTGGAACCATTTTGTTTTTTTTTTCCTCTTTTGGACCCAATGTACTTCAATTTTATCGATTCTTTTTATGTCCTTTGGATAAAGAAGGAAACATTTGAGATCTACTGTGTAAAATTAGATTTTAAAAACCAATTTATCTTATCAGAATCAATCGAAGAAATTTGAATGTTGCGATAAACAAATAAAATCTCTGATCTATGCAAGAGATAAGGATTCTTTATCTTCGCTTCTTGAAAGACTTGTCAAGACTTCTGCTGCATCTAGTTCAGACCAGTTATGATTATTTTCGATTCTATATAAAATAATAATATTTTATACCATTATCGTTTAATTCATTTTTATCTGTTTTTCAATTTTTTTTAATAGAAAATTAAAAATAAATTAAATATTTACTTCTGTTCTTTTGGATTGTCTTCTTCCGATATCGACTGTTGTCTTTCGGCTGAAAGGTTTGTTTTAAAAACACCCAATTAAATAAAATAAAATTAAAAATTTATACGAATTAACTCGAAACGACCGTTATTATTGTATTTGAAAATTTAAATTGCTCTACGTAATTGGATAATCAATTATTATATTTAATCGATTTCTTTAGTTAAGATGGTGTTATAATTTATAACTGATTTTTATTCGAGTTATTTAAATTGTTTATATTTTTTAATTGATTGAAAAGACATTCTTACCTGTATATGATCTTGTTAACGTTTCTTTACTAGCATCATTCAAATACCGTTGCAAAATTGTAGTCTTATATTTAGCAGGAGTTTCTCTTCCAGGATATTCTTCTCCGTTTGGAATCTCTGATTTTTGCTTTTTGGCAGGATTTTCTTCGTCATCTGACTCACTATTTTTCCTCTTCCGGCTGTTTTCTAATTGTTGAGGTGTTGTAGCTGAATAACTGTGTTCTTCGTGTTCTATATGATACCTCGGACATTCGTCAACTAAATTATTTAACATCGTTATAATTAATTATTTGTACAAAACATGAAAATAAATCATATTAACTAAACTATTTATATGTATTTTTAGAAAATAAATGTTTTGTTCTTACTATAATTTTCCTCATCACCACTGTCCCATAAACTATCATCAGAACTGATACTTAAGGGCTCTGCATTGCCCGAAACATAACTATTGTACAATCGAATACGTTGGCTCCAACTCAAATCTGGATCGCGTACCTAAAACAAGGAAAGATAAAAAATAAAAAGTGAAAGTCATAAAACAGAAATCAGGACAGTGAATGGAACTACAAAAAAGTTACGACGCCATCTGTGGAGCAATAAAGCAACTAAAAGCTCACCGTGTTTTTTAGTCTTCTTCTCGCATTGGCGAACCAATTCGATACTTGAACCAATGTCATTTGTGAACCTAAGGCCAATGTAACTTTTTCTGATTTCGTTGGATAAGGATTATTTCTATGTCTTATCAGCCACTGTTTTAACGGCTTTGCCATATCTTGCAGCACTTGTCTTTTTTGCCTGGATCTTTCATGTAGTCTTGCCCTTTAATAAGTTAGAAATACGATGAACTATATATAATATGTTTCAAAATAGATCTTACTTTTTTTTTGGAAAAAAAAATTGAAAAAAAATCAATAGAACAAGCTTAAATTTTATATAGAACAATAAAAAACTAATAAAACCGGAAAGAACGATAACAGTGAAATAGATTGGATTTCTTTTCTCAAAAAGACTTTATAAAAATCTGTTCTTTCTCTTCCCATTCCTCAATAAAGAAAAAAAATGCCATACAATAAAACAAAAACGGACAGAGTTCACTATATAAAATTTTAAAAACGGAACAAAAGAAAAAAGCCATAAATTTCATTCAAGTAGACTGTGCCATACCAGCATTAACAACTTTATAAATGTACCCCTGTATGACATATCTATCAGTCATTGGGCTTATTAAACTGGCAATGGAAAAAAAATTAAGTTAATAGAAAATGGCTATATTAATGACAGAACTCTTCGTTACCTGTGCCAAAGAATAAGGACAGAAATTGTAGAATTCAAACAAGCTCTGATTAACACAAGAGTAGCATTGTGACTATTTTGAATCGATGCCAGAAAATTTTTAGAGTTTTAAGCCAGTGGATGTTACCTGATAAACAAGGTGTCGTTGATCGCAGCAAATATCCTAAACATGTTTGTATTAAACGGATTTTTCTTTTTAAAATGAAACAATATAATACATTATATAAATTTTACAAAATTTTTAATTATCGAATATATAAATTTTATTAATTTCCAAAGCGTTTTATATAAATATACTGTATTTTTACATTAGGAACACACAGAAACACAATGAGATTTTATCAGTAAACATTATCTTGTTTTCTTTCATTTACATTTACTAGAGGGAGGAGGGGGAGAAAAACCACGAAGGGTATCAAGTTCATTAATTAAAGATCATCAATCTACGCCGTGCTTCCTTACAGACTAGTAATCGTACAACGCACCGATCCCCCACAGACTAACCCATTACTGCCAACTTGAATAGCTACTGACTCCTATCTATATTTAGAATTTTAAAATGAATTCTACAGCTCGTGTCCTCGATCTGTCTAAAACTGTGGGCACGAGGTCATGCGACTTATAACCGTGACATTTTGAATCGTAACAATCACAACAATAGATTAGAAATTTTTTTTATTTTTGAAAACTTTTGTATTGTTCAAATTCTGAAATGTCGATTGAAGTTGAAAACGGGAATAAATATCTTTCGGATGCTGTTATCCAGATGTCTTCCACTAAAAGAGATGAACTGGAAAAGATGCTCGAACGCTGTCAAGCTCTAGATGATAGCGAAAATAAATGTAATAATTCTGGAAACATATTATCTACGAGACCGAAAACAGCGAGGGAATATGACCAACATTTAAATAATCTAAGAAAAGAAAATTTTAATTTGAAGCTTCGTTTATTTCTTTTAGAAGAAAAGAATGCTCAATGTAAAGATGGCCATAATATGTACTGGCCAGAACATAGTTTAACTGATTCAAAATCAAGCGTAAAGGATGAATCTATAGAATCTTTACAAAGAAAGCTTTACGAAAAAGAAAATCAGCACAAGGAACTAGAAAATAAATTAGATTTTCTTTACAGAAGAGCTGCGAATAAAGATTCAGATGAAATTGAAATAGAAGCAATAGATAATTCAGAAATCTCTGAAGGATCTGAACGAACACTGACGATGAAACAATTAATACAGAAGGTCAAAATGATTCAAAGCCAATATGACAAATTAGAGGAAAAATACAATAAGTTGGTATTAATCAATAATCATCCTGAAGATAAGTTAAAGCGTTGTCTGACCACAACTAAATTTCCAATAGTTAAATTGTCTGAAGAAAATCTAGATGAAAGCAAAGTCACGGATTGCAAATTCGACCAACTTCAACGTCAACTATCTATATCGGAAGATAATGTAAATCGCCTGCTTAAAATCCTAGAAACAAAGGATAAGTTATTAGAATTCCTCTTAAGGAGATGTCGAGAATCAGAAACCAGCCAAAATGGCATCGTAGCAAATTCATATTTTAGAGAAGAAAAAATAAATTTTTTAAAAAATTCCTTACTGAACTCCGAGACGAAATTAATCAATATGAAAAAGATAACGGATGATGTAAAAAATAAAGGTGATAAACAGCAACGATCGGAATTCAGACCATCAAAATCCACACCTATTCAGATAAAGGGATTATTCGAAAATGTTTCTAGACCCAAAAAAATTTCGGTGGAAAGATATCAAAAAGCTTTAAATAATCACATCCATTCGAAATTTAAGAACGGGGAGGATCTAAATTTATCAAAAAATCCCTCAAATGCAAGATTACAAGAAGATTCTGTTGGAGATTGTGGAGATATCTGCCACAATCAAGTTGATGGTTCTTTGTGTAAAGAATCACTTTCTTCATCCGAGGAAAGTAACTCGACGAAAACATTATTTAAATCTCCAGATTTAAGTAATAATAATAATAATAATAATAATTCGAAGTGTTCAGAAGTAAAGAATGGTTCCATTTTATTTCACAAGACTAAATTAAGTTTTCCAGTCAGTGTACAGTTAGTGATCGACATGGGATAAAATGCAAAAAATTTTCGATATTTTCAAAAAACTGAAATTAATTCGATTGAAGACTTGGAAACAAAATTTGCTGAAAAAATCGACTTCAATTAATTTTCTGTAATTGTAAATAAATAAAAATAACTCAAACATTAAATAAAAACTACGAAAATTTGAAATAAAATAATAAAGACACGAAAAGTTTGTAATGTCCACTATTATTGGTTACTGGGTTATTAAAATTTTTATTTCGTCCAATGAGAATAAGCGAAAGAGAAATTTATATACCTTGTGCTGCTCATTCTAAGAAGGCGACCAGATCTTGTCCTTATGAGATGCTCGCCCATTCCAAATCGAACATTGTCACTCATTTCATCCGAAGAATTATTAACATCTTCGACACCTCTTCTATTTTCTTTATCGTCAATTATTTGCCCCATTGAATAAAAAGAATGATACCTTTAAAAAAAATGAAAAAACTCATCAACAGATGTCGCTACAAGAAAAAAAATTTAAAAATTCAAATTTTTAAATTTTTCCAACGTCACAATTACTTCTAAACAATTAATTAGTGTTTTTAGTGTTTAAAAAATGCTTAAATATATTTTAAAATAGTTATTTACCTTAAATAAATTATAGAAAGAGTGAGTTCACAGATAATATAAAAAATAAACGACAGCTGGCATCAAAAGTGAACACCAAAATTTTTTTTATTTCTCTTTGTTTATCTTCCTTGTAACGTTTACAAATCTCTTGTAATGTAAAAAAAATAAAGTTTTATAATTATATAAATAATCTACATTTAATATAATTATAAATTAATTTTAATTATAATTCTAAACATATTGCGAATAATAAAAAAAATGACATTTATAGTAACAATATACCTCCGCTAAACTATCAGTTGGGGGTTAAACCCCAGCAGAGTTTGTAAAACATTTGTTCTATAATCTTCCCAACACTCCAATAAGTAAGTACATACTTTTTTACGTTACAATATTTAAATTATTATAAAAATTTATAAATTATTACTGTAATTTTGGAATTTATATGTACGAATATATAGTAAATTTACATTAAAATACAAACTTTTCGACTTATATTCAATACATATGAAGCCTTCAATTATGATAGAAAACGTTGTATCTACTTTGTCTGGCTGTCTGTAAGATGCCCACCAGTGGTCAAGTGGTCTTCGTACTCTGAACACTGGGAGTTCGGTCGTGGGTTCGCGCCTCTGTCGAACGGGCTGGTCATGTGGAGTTTTTTGGGTTTCCTCCACGTCTGTAACGCTTAAATAGGGGCAGTTTCCCTTAAAAGACCTCCCGGAAGGCTTCCCTGATCTTAGGCAGATCGCCTAAGTGTTGCATTGCTATAATTTAACAAACAACAACAACTGTCTTCAAAATTAAAATAGCCTTAAGAAACGAAGACAAAATGCTGTAAATTAAGGGTTAAAGTTATAAGCTTTGTTCCCATCAATACGCAAATTCTAACGGCCTGATGACCACGGAGGTTAAGACATCAACCTACTGTTCTAGGGGGTTCTTCAGTAACCTCAACTTTTCGTGGGTGGTATCTCCCGGATATATCGAGCTCCGTACCTCTTTATCCTACAGTCTCTGTTATGGGCCTGGCCGATTCCACGATGGGCACGAAAAATGGCCCTCTAGAGCGGAAAATACTAACGAAAAAAATAAAAGAAAAACACGAATTCTTGAAAAATTCCTCTTAAAAGCTTATAGAATAGGAAAAATTTGTTGTTTTGTAAGCAGTTATTCCTCACATCACGCCAGAAATATCTAAATGTGGATTACATTACAAACAATTTGTTAAATACATATTTATTTACGATAATATGGACTTTAATTAATTTTTCAACATTCCAAAATCTTACTTATAATGTTTTTATGTTCTTGAATTTCTAATTTTCATACATTTCATCAACAGTAATGATACAAGAATTTTAGAACAGGATAGATACGTAAACTAAATAAACTACAGCTTAAGACTTGACGCAACCAGGATACAAACTAAGGCCTTATTTTTTAAAAAAGATTTATTAGTATTTAGCTGTTATATTAGGGCCCCAACAAGTCAAAATCACGCAATTTTTTAATTTTTATTTTTGGCTTTTTATGCCTCTTGAGCGCTAAGACGGCCACTACAAAATGTATTGATTTCTTTAAGTTCTTTTACATCGCATCAATTGTAATATTACAGCTTTATCTTAAAAATATTTAAACAACAATTACGTATTGCAGTTAACTTGTAAGATTAAACCATACCTAACCTCTACTTAAATTAACAATTCCCATTCCTTTGTTAAAATATATACACTCTTCAGAGTAATTCTAAATCAATTGAAATTAAGTTACATAACAAATATATAATTAATAAACTAATAAATAATTAACACAGATTTGAAATTTTAATTAATATATATTAATTAATCTTCACTTAAGGATATCGCCCGCACAAACAAGTCCAACTTGGGTATGTTTTATGCATAAAAATAACTTAAATTGAAATAAATCATTAAAACAATTAATAATATTAAATATTTTACAGTTTTTAATACTTACAACGTTAAATATTTCAACAAATTTCTTGAAATAATACGATATTTTTTAAGATAAAAAATTTCAACGTCGTGTTAAAGACATGATTATATGAAGCATGAACTCTCGAATCACCCAGAAACATGGATTCTATTCAGTCTTTGTGTAAACTCTTCCTTAACTGAATAGGACGAACATATTCATCGTTCTTTATTCAGTTTCTGGGTCCTAACTAACATTTGGGACGTGTGCACAATCAAACATGTTCGTCATATCTCAAACGGAATATAAATTTAAAAAATATAATATTCATGAATTTTCTAAATAATTTTTTCTTCCATTTTATATAAATAGATATATTATTTTCGAATTTGTTTTTATTTTGAAAAGTTTACAAGATGGCTGACTTGTTTGTTAAGCCCGAGCTAACAATACGTAAGAATTCTATTTTTAATGGTTTACTATTAATAGATGAAAAATTTAGAGTAAATCATTAACTATTCTTTATATATANTACTATTTATTATTGAAAATTTACTATTTTCTGCTCGCATTTTTTCATTGGAATTGCTCTTTTTTTATTAGTTTACTTGATAGATTTTTATATTGAAGTATTAATGGGCCTCATGGTTGTCAGCAGAAAATTTTACAGGGGCAAAGCTTGATGACAAATAATTACATCAGTAAAGTTTTAATTTTGGGGAGTATTTTTAAGACAGACAAAGGTCCTATAATCTAGGTTGTAAGTATACATCTCAATCACTTTTACGATTATAATTTATGGAATTTTTTACTCAATCTCAGAGGAGGAGAAGTGCACCCGTTTGCCTCTCTGCAGACGTCTATGGTGGAACTATATATATAATGCATGATAAGTGAATAATTTTTGGGGGATTTTTTTAAGATAGACAAATCGTTCCATAGTCTAGGGTGTAAGTATGCATCTCAATAACTTTTACTATTATAATTTGTTAAATTTTTTACTTAATCCCAGAGGAGGGCAAGTGCCCTGTTTGCCTCTTCTGCAGACACCCATGATGGGCTTGCATACGTAATACATGAAAAGTGAATAATTAAAATATTCTCCATATAATCAATATAATTAATATTAAGAAAGATAATTTGAATATTCAATTTCGAATTGTTATTCAACGGTTCGTTGAACAGATCGATAGAAACGAGGTTTTATTAATTACTTCTCTACATTAATTTGATGTTATCCTCTTGTAATAAATCGTTAGAAAGAATTTTAATACATCTCTTACTCGAAATTATTTAGATGATTTTCAATATTTTCAATTTATCATTTTTAAAGAAAAATTCATTTTTAAAAAGTGATCAAAACTTTGCAAGCAAATTTCATTATTATGCTGGTTATTAATAAATTTGTCTAAACATTTTCCTACTTAATTAATAAATTATATAAGTAATTATCTTTTCAATGTTTCGGAGGAATTCTGAATTTTTAACTTTTCTTCGTTACTTTTAATTATTTGCATATTAATTTAAAATTCATTTGAAATTTCGTAAAGGATTCTGGTTTATTTTCAATTTTTACGTTCTTACGTAACCCGTTTAAATTTTGTTTTGAATTTCAATTAAGTGGGAAATGGTAATTAATTACAGATTAACCTCTTGAAATATTGAAAGTATACGAAATTTGTTCGTTGATATAACTTAAATTTACTTTAATTCAGTTAGTTTTTTTGTTGAAACACCTTGAAAAAAGGTATAGTTAATGAAAATGATTTTTTTTTCTTTACATTTTTAACTAAATTACTTAATGAGAATATCATTTTTTTACATGAATTTTTATTAAAAATTGAATAAAAATTATTATTTTTCTCATATTTCTAAATAGAAAGACAGCAAACATAACATAACATAACATAAGCAAAACACAAGCGAAATTATTAAGATACAGTACACGAATAATCAAATGCATATTCAAAACTATCAGTTTTAAATTAATTTTCGCTAAAATATTTATTTCTAAACAAATTAAATATAGCCTATATAAATTTTACGTAGAGTTAATTTAATGTAAGACATAAAAAAATAATTTTATAATCAAGAAAAGTAGTTTGGTTACGTCATTCATCATCCCCCTGCTCATCCATGCTCATCTCTGGACGAGTAGGAGAGGTGAAAAAGGGAAACGGGAAAAGTTTAACATTGCTGTTAAACAATTTTTGCCCTTTTATGTGAGGAATAATAAATATTGAATTCAATTTTAGAAAAGGTACGAGGATAAAAAGTTTAATAATCCCTATGAATTAAACACTATAAAAGAATTTAATCCACTTTCAGGTCTGATATGCAACGACTGCTATAAGATCTGTTTAAAAAATTATACAACCGTGGAGATAAAATTACTCACCTTTTTTGTATATATATACGATACAATTAAATCCAAAATGTCCAGTGATTAATATGTTTTATGCATTAACGATTAATGGTTGGGTTAGTTTTGTTCACTGATCTATGAATAATGAATTTAATCAAGTGAATATAGATCCAAAACTTAAATTAGATGACCCATCGAAAACACCATCACGTTTGCAATATATTAAATCACGACATGGATCTCATAGGCAAAAAAAATATTTATTTCAAATACCAAAAAAATGATAAAATTTTCGGATTATACAACAAAATTTGTTATTATTATTATTATTATTATTTAAATGAAATAATTTAGAGAAGAAGAGAAGAAAATTCGATGTACCAAAATAGTAAAAATATGTTGATAGGTTTGTACTGTATATAAGCTTATTTTAGAATGTACTTATTATGTTACTTAAAAATATGCCAGCTTATTTTCATTAAGTAACATGTTTTGAAGACTTCAAAATGGCAAAATAAAATAAAATAAACTTTGTATCGAATTCTAACAGGGGCAAAATGATGAGAGGTTTAATATAAACTTTAACAGGATTAAATGATAGAAGGTGGGCATAAATTAAGATTTATAAATCTCCCGACTGATTTTTTTCGAGGCTTCTCTGTCTATGGGCACTAAGAGGGCTTTTTTTAAATATCTAGGCCCATAATGAAGCGAAGAATGATACCCAATGTAACGCCCATGCAAATATTTATGGGAGTTTTTTGAGTGCTCGTATTCGATCTTCCCATTCATAATGATAGGCCTTAACCTTAATTTTTATGGAAAATATTAAAATCCGATGTCTTTAACATTTATAGCGCATTCAAATTTAAATGAAAATTAAATTAGAAAAGGGCACAACAAACCTTAAATGAGGAGAAAGAATTAATTATGTGTATCAATATTCAACATTATCGAATACATAATATAAATGTATACAATGTAGAATTGTAGTTTTTAATATGTATTATATTTTAAAATTCAATTAATTTTTCTCCTATGGAAAAGAAAAATGTAATAATAATAATAATAATAATAATTAAACAATTTTAGAATCAATTTGCTGTAATCTCCCTCTTAACTTATACTTTATGGGTTGCAAATTGCTGAACATCGTCTATAAATTATCAGAAATTTTAACTGAACAAGCAAGATTTAAATAGGTCACGCTTAAAGTATGCTACGTGTAACAAACATTCACTAAATATTATTATGTGGAAACGGAGGATTAAAAAACTAATAACAAAATTAATAAGAATTTTTTTTATTATTATTCTCTTCTTTAAATAGAATATTAAATTTTTATACATTATTTTCTTAAATTCCTGTTTTATTTATCCATTATGTGGGTATTAAGAGGTACTTTTTGCCAGCTAATTGTGGATTTACCATACTTGCAATGACCGAGAATATTGTACATACAAAAGATAATGTTAACAATTTTCTCTAAGTAATTTTATGGTAATTTTTAATAAGAAATTTTCTTATTGAAATCTTTTTAGAGAAATTTCTTTAATCATTAGTACCCTTGAGTAGATAACTATTAATGAGATCCTTATCCTTTTATATTATCTGTGTCTATCGTTATTTTATTTTACATTTCTAGTCATGTCATGTAACACATATAGGCCTTTATACCTGTGATTTGTCGTTGATTATTAATAAATAGTCCCTACTGATATATTCTCATAATCAATTATGTACAGAGCAGATAATATATATATATATATAATTTCAGTAAAATTTAGACAATTTTTGTTCAAAATTTGATCAATTCAAAGGAGGCTTACTAAGTAAGAATTCTAGCGCTTTAGAGATGGAGAGAGAGTTAGAGAATTTTTTCCGAATTCGGAGAAAATTTAGGCGCCCTATCCCTATAAATTAATGTTATTTTTACATAAAAAATAAACAAAAAAGTGCTTGCTAAGGAACAAAAGAGAGTCACTCTACTCCGAGCCACACACCGAGTTTTCGATGGTCTGGGTCTACGTTTGAACAGGCTGAAATCCTTCCTCAACCTACTCGATTCTTATCCTTGTCAGTCACATATTCAGCGATTCGCGGATAATTAAACTATTGGATTTTACTCTACAAGTGATAAATAAATAATTATTCATTCCTTTTGTAAAAGATATATTTATTAACCGAATTAAAAAGTCATTTTCAGACAAGAATCGACATCGAAATTTCGAACTAAAACATATGTTTTGAACTGTCCCGAATATGATCTGTATAGTTCTAAAATAATCTTAAGTGTTTCTACAGATGTGTACCTCTATACATGTTCCAGTTTATAGGAAAATAGTGTTAAAAATCACTTGTTTTTTACACGGTATAACATTGACTTTCGGAATAATTCAACACCGGAAACGGAAACTTAGCATGACTTATTATAAAGTGTGTCCCATCACATTGCATCCGCTCCATTATGAGCATATCAAATATCACCACGTTCGTTCAGATAAAGGCATAATCCAATAACGGAGTGAATAAAACCACCAAATATTAAGTCGTGGGTTCGCGCCTTGCCAACGAGCCACGAGGAGTTTTCCGGGTTTTCTTCACGTTTGTAACATCTAAATAGATGTCCCCGTAATATGACGTCCGAGTCGGAGCCCGATTTTATCAGTTTAATGCTGTATATTGCTATCACGTTCAGATACAGGGGACTAGCACGGTTATTTGATAAGGTCTCCAGACGAAGGGATCCCTAAAATTTAATCTTTATAATATGAAAAAATATAAGAAAATCCGTTTTTATTTGTTTTGTTTTATTAATAAATTATATTTCTACGGATTCGCAGAAGAGTGGGGCC